GGCCAGACCTGTTATTATATTATTAACTTCTTGGAAAAGACTTGAGTGCCCTTCTTTAAGTAAGAGGCACTCGAACTAATATAACAGTACACATCAGCATTCTCAACAAGTACAAAGACTGAAATACCCCTTCACTAACACCACTAACAACCTTTAAGCATCTTTTAGATATCTATAAGTGAAACTTCTGTTGCCAATGAAAAGTCATTGGTCAGTTAATTGACTTCGTAAGCCAACCCATCTTAAAGAACTTGAACTGATATGTGGTTTGCCTAATTTGTTTTTTGTAGGACACAGAAGTTTCTGCAGTTAAATACATTTCTTGGGTGGAATATAAAAGCTTACTAACAAAAGAAGATCCTGAATATGTCCCTTATGATGTGAGTGGGCAATATGGCCAACTGTTTGATATAATTGAAAAAAGGTATGGTGTTATAATTCATTAAACAGAACCTGATTCTCTATCATCCTGTTCAAATTCGTAATATTTTTATGATAATTGATTGTTATTCACATTTGCAATTAAAAAATTAAGAAACCTGAAGTTTATCCAGTGAAATATCTTCATCTGATGTTGGTGATTAGTGCATGAGGATTTCAAAGACATCGTCAACAGAAAAAGTCTTTGCAAGAGCCTGTAAGTTGCTCTGATACCAAGAAGTAGAAAGATGAAGAAGAGGAGGATTGATCAAAAAAAAGAAGAAGAAGAAGAGGAGGAAGAGCTAGTTACAAATGAGAGGAGTGTGTTACTGTTCACACCCTCAAACTTGATATTTATATCATGAGAAAGAAAATTACAAGAAATCCCTTACTTGGGTGCCCAAATACAAGTAGACATGAAAAAACAGCAAAAAACCCCCTTGCCTTATATATTCTCAACAAATATCAGAAAAGCAGATTGTTGAAGGTGACTCAAAGCAGGTCAAAGGTTGGCTACAAAAAGGGGGGAATGGAATTTGAAAAATTTCCAATGAAAAAAAAAAGTTTAAGTGGCTGACCCAGGACATGAATATAAAACTGCAGTGGGTAAAGAAAGTTTACCTCTCCACTTGCAAAACTAGGGGTGGGAAGGAATAGTTTACTTTGGGTTTTGTTGTAATTTGAACTTCTATTCGGGGAGGGTTAAGAGAGTTTACCTCTCCACTTGCTTTCTTGTATCCATTTCTTATTAATATTTTATAAAAGTTTAAGTTATTGATCAAAAAAAGAAAAGTGCTAGAGGCATGCTAGAAGGGGTTTGATTTAAGTAGTGAGAAATGATTTAAGCATTAATTAAACATGGCACTGAAAGAGCAGAAAGGAAGAACAGGATTCAGGACTTAGTTGAGTAAGTATTTGACAAAGAATCATTTGTTATGACTAAACTAATTTATTGAATATGTTAAATGCATCTCTAAATTTGCTACCTAATTTTCTGTTTATGCAAGTGATTTCATGTAAAATTGCTTTTAGGTATAAGGAGAACACAGAGGCACGCAGTCTGATCCTTCAAAAACAACTTCGCCGTTATGCACCAATTTATCTTGATACTGAGGTACAAATAATTAAGTTTTCATTCATTAATCTCAATACTGTTACGATTGTCATGTGCATCTTTCAGTCACTTTTTAGTGTTTGGTTGAATACATTTGTGAACCAAGCTTCTTTAGTTTGTTCTAAAAGACATTCTTCGATTTGTTTCTTAACTTGAATTTGACCATTTATAATATCATATTTCTTAACTAGCAATATAATGTTTATATTTATGTGAAGAGCTCATTTCAATTTTCTTGTCATTTTGATCTGTCTGTTCATCCTTCTGTTTAATGTTAAGTGGGCTTCAGTCCTACACTTTCAGAGATAGTATGAGTCCATCTCTTATTCAGACTTAGCCTTTGTTGTGACAATTTTGGCTGGTCCTCACTCCTCACCTTTTGCTTGAGTGCCTTTCCCCTAGTTTACTGCATTCTAGTGAACATATCACACAATTATGAACCTCTTTTCTATTTTAGAGTATGTCAAGTTAGATAGAGATTCAAGTGTTCTTGTCCTATCCAGAGGTGTCCCTCATTGATTGCACAACTACTGTTGAATGAAAGAAATAGATAATTATTTTTGCACAGCTATCACACTCTACTGGGTGTTGGCATGGATCTGTGTCTCCTAACTAAGTGATTATTGATTTTGTATAATGTATATTTTTTTCTTCAACATGGATCAAGAAATAATGCAATGCTATGTGATGGAGGACGATTTGGCCTGACCCCGTGGCCCAAGGACACGTGTGCGTAACCTGGCTTGGTGAACAGCTCAGCCTGACAGTGTAACCTCGACTCAACGGGAGGGACACGCCGAGTCGAGGACTGGCAACTCAGCGAGTCAAGCAACTCGCCGAGGACTAATACCTCGGTAACTTAGACTCCCACCTAGCTCGGAGAGCCCGGGCTCCCCCCAAGGAGCCCCGAGCTTTCCCCTGCCAAGGAGGGAGCACCTCGGTACTTTGAGGCCGGGACGGAACTGCCCCAGGCAGCCCGGTATACAGCAACGCGGTAAGCTGCAAGAAGGAGGGCCCACCTGACACCTGTGTCCTTCGGACTTGATAGCAGGGCTCTGACCCCTCGCCAGGCGCACCTCGGTACTTTGAGGTGGGGACGGACTTACCCCAGGCAGCCCGGTATACGGCAGCGCGGTAAGCTGCAAGAAGGAGGGCCCACCTGACACCTGTGTCCTTCGGACTTGATAGCAGGGCTCTGACCCCTCGCCAGGCGGCTTTCCCCCTGCCTAGCGGCGTTCTCTTTGCTGTCTCTGGAAGGCAAGGCGCGCCTGTCAGCTCCGTACCCGGCAATGGCAGCTTACAACAGCTGCCTGCGCCTGCCACCCCTGCCCTGGCGGTAACGTCTAGAGCAGTGGCGGTTACGCCAGGTACGGTGGGATCCCAGCATAAAAGGATCCTAGCTCTTGCGAGGAGGGGATCGAAGCTTAAGCACTTTCAGCACTCCTATTCTCTCTGCTTTCTTTGAAATCTTCCCCAGTTCTAACTTAGCCATCGGAGTGTTCCCACCGGGATATCTCCCCGGGAACCCTTCATTTTCTCTTTCCTCTCAGGTGCCTTTCGTCCCAGTCGGAAGCCAGGTCATAGCCAGCTAAGGAGTGCCCAGATCGTGCAACATCACTATGTTTGGGCAATTCCTTCTAATTCAAAATGTATTTGAATTGAAAATTACACCTACAGTAATTCAGATAATGCAAGAAAAGAAGAAAAGAGAGGAAGAGAAAGAAGAAGAAAGAAGTTCCAACAATAGGTTGTGGAAGAAGAAAAGAAGGGAAGAGAGAAAAGAAGATGCTATAAATCTGATCTGCACTAGAATCCTGTTAGTATTAGAGTTGAAGAAGTATTAGAGAGACTAGAGGAAGAAGGAGAAGAAGAAGAGAAGAGAATAGAGAAGAAGAGAATTTTGGTTCGAACTAGAGAGAATGATCTCTGTCTCCAGTCGGCCAGATTATATTTATATGTTTCTATCCAATTAACGAAAGACTACTATGTCCCTACTTAAGTATGGGACACATCACTTAACATAACATTACACATCAGCTTTAAACATAAAAATAAAGACTAAAATACCCCTATACAGTTGACACTAACACTCCCCCTTAAGCCGGTGAGTATATATCATATAGTCCCAGCTTGTTACATATGTAATCCACTCTTCCTCGACTCAACCCTTTGGTGAACAAGTCTGCCCATTGACTCCCTGTGTTAACATATGCAATATCTATCACTCCACTAAGCGCCTTCTCTCTCACAAAGTGACAGTCAACTTCTATATGCTTTGTTCTCTCATGAAACACTGGATTAGAAGAGATGTGGACTGCAGCTTGGTTGTCACAATAAAGCTTCATTGGAGTATCAATCGGATATCCCATCTCCTGTAGAAGATTTCACAGCCACACTAATTCAGAAGTGGTATGTGCTATGGCTCTATATTTGGCTTTTGCACTACTTGCCAGAACTGTCTATTTCTTACTTTTCCATGTCACCAGATTACCCCCAAGGAAAGTACAATAACCTGTTGTGGATATTCTGTCAGACACAGAACTAGCCCAATCAACATCAATGTATCCCTCTATTTTGAGATTTCCTCCACTCTTATATATCAAGCCACGACCAGGAGCTCCCTTCAAATACCTTATAATCTTTAGAACTGCATCTCAATGTGGAACCTGAGGTTTCTGCATAAACCGACTCACCACACTAACTGCAAATGAAATATTTGGTTGGGTAATGGTTAGGTAGTTTAGCTTACCCACCAACCGCTTGCACCTTCTAGGATCTTCAAACTCTTCACTCATATCACTGTTCAACTTGGTATTTGGTTCCATAGGTGTTTCAGCCGGTTTGGCACCTAACAATCCTGTTTCTTTCAACAAATCAAGAACATATTTCCTCTAACACAAATTAATACCATGCTTAGACCTTGCTATTTCTATCCCCAAGAAATATTTTAATTTACCAAGGTCCTTTGTTTGAAAATGTTCCTGCAGGAAGGTCTTCAACCTATCAATTCCCAATCTACCACTGCCGGTAATGTCAATATCATCTACACATACCATCAATAAGATCTTCCCAACATGTGAATCGTGACTGAATACTGAGTGGTCAACTTGACACTGTTTCATACCAAACTTCTTTACCACTTCACTGAATCTACCAAACCATGCACGGGGAGACTATTTAAGTCCATAAATAGCCTCTTTTAGTATGCACACCTTAACATCCCCCCCCCCGAGCAACAAACCCGGTGGTTGCTCCATATAGACCTCCTCAAGTAGATCACTATGTAAGAAAGCATTCTTGATGTCAAGCTGAAAGAGAGGCCAATCATACATAGCAGCTAGAGATATCACAACACAGACTAAACCAATTTTAGCAACGGGAGAGAAGGTCTCCGTGTAGTCAATAGCATATGTTTGGGAATACCCTTTTGTGACCAGTTTAACTTTTAACTGCTCTACACTACCATCAGGTAAATGCTTAACAGTGTAGACCCACTTACAATCGACAGGCTGCTTATCAGAAGGAAGCGTGGTGAGATCCCACATATGATTATGAGTTAAGGCAGAGAGTTCTTCTTCCATTGCATGGCGCCACCCTAGAGAGGCAAGGGCTTCTTGGACATCCGTAGGAACAGAAATAGAAGACAACAAAGAAATAAACTGGCAATGGGAGGTAGAAAGGTGAGTGATGGAAACATAATTAGAAATGGGATGAAGTGTGCAATTGCGTTTACCTTTCCGCAAGGCAATAGGAAGATCAAGGTAAGAAATTGGGGTTGTAGCGAGTGTGGGAACAACTGCCGGATCTGTGACGGTGATGAAGCTAGAGGAGGAGCCGATACATGTTGTCGATGTGCATACACTTGACGAATGGGTGGCTATTCAATAGGAATTTGCACCGGAGGCAAAGACTTGGTCACAACTGGAACAAGTGGAATGGGGTCCTCAATGGGAACTGGAAGAGGAGGTGGTGAGGAAGAAGAAACATCACTTGACCCCGAAAAAAACGGAGTGAACTCAAAGAAAGTAACATCAGGACACACAAAGGAACGTCGGGAACTAGGGTTGTAACACTTATACCCTTTCTGGGTATGGTAATAGTCAAGGAAGATACACTTAGTGAATCATGCATCTAACTTGTCCCTTCCCGGCCCAAGATTATGAACAAAACAGACACACTCGAAAATCCGAGGAGTAAGGGGAAACAAAGACAAGGTAGGAAACAAAGTGGTGAAGGGAGAGAATGACCTTCAAGGATGGGCATGGGCATCCAGTTAATTAGGAAGCAAGATGTAAGCACAACATCACTCCAAAAATGTTTGGGTACATTCATATGGTGCATAAGGGACCAAGCAGTTTCCTAAAGGTGACGGTTCTTTCTCTCAGCTACCCCATTTTGTTGTGGGGTGTAGGTACATGATCTGATGGATAGTGCCATATTGTTCCAAATACTCTTGAAACGGTGTATAAAAGTATTCACGACTGCGAATTTTGGCATAAAATTTTTGGAAAATGGAAGATAATTCACTCCTTTCTTTCATTAGGTAAAGCCACGTCATCCTTGAATAATCATCAACAAAAATAACAAAGTATTTGTAACCATTGTATGAAATTATTATTTGGACCCCAAACATCTGAATGAACTAAAGTAAAAGGACTCGACATACGATTATCAACCCTAGGACTAAAGGGAACCCAATGATGTTTCCCCAAATGACATGACTCACATTCCAAAACAAAAAGAAGACTCAGCGATCGAACAAGAGACTTCAAAACTTTTGAGTGATGGATGACCAAATCTACAGTGCCACTGAAGAGGAGAAAGGGATGTCTGAAGAGCTGTTGATGCACTACCACCACCATCAAGATAATACAGTCCACCGGCTTCATGCCCTCCACCAATCTTCATCCCCATCTTGAGATCCTAAAAAACACAAGAAGGGTAAAAAGTAATAGAGCAATTAAGGGACTTGGTCAACTTACTAGCTGACATAAGATTAA